GAAAGAAAGAAAGAAAAGGAGAAAATGGGGAAATGTAGAAGGGTGAACTTTTTTTTGGTGGTGTTTTGCGGGGCTCGCAACTGCATAAGATATATGAGCGCGCGGTACACTGTAAACTTTTTCAGTTGGTAGGAAATTTTGAATTTTACCTGGGTGGCGGCCAAAGCCTACTCTTATCCATTTTAGACCACCAGGGGATCTTTAACGTTCGTAACTTGCACACGGGCCCTCCGAGATGTTTTGCCCTTTTCCGAGAAGGCTAGGTGTAGATCTTTCCTACCAGAAGATTAGGGGTGTGGCTGAAAGACAGCAGTAAGAAGGAGCCAAGGAGCAGCAGTAGAAAGGCCGCAGAAAGAGTCAGGAACCCAGAGGAGGGGGTAAAGGAGGTGAGAGGGTGGGGGCAGAAAGGGGAGACGAAAGCAGACGACAGAACATTGCTAGAGAGCAGGAAAGGAGGCGAAAGGAGACAATTTTAAAGAAGAAAATTTTTCAGTCGCTACTTGGATTCGAACCCGGGACCTTTGAATGAGAGGCCAACACCTTAACCTCTAGGCCACGAGAACCCCCGGGTGAACTTTAATAATTTAGGAGAGGCGTCGAGGAAAGGAGATAAGGAGATGATGGAAGGGTGGCAGAGGGTATGGAAAAGCTAGCATAATAATATGGATGGATGGGGGAATGAATTAGTAAATGGATACCACAGACCGACGGTTATGAAATCTACGTAGACATCGAAGGAACATGCCGAGCAGAAATCTTATTGAGCACAGGGGGAGTACGGTCGTACCTGTATTTTCGTTTGTTTTTGTTCGCTTGGTTTTCCTTTTTTTTTTCTTTTTGTTGTTGTTGGTTTTTTGTGTTTTTTAGTTGTTGTTTTTTAGGGGGGTCTTGTTTGTTTGTTTGTTTGGTTTTTGGTTTGTTTGTTTGTTTGTTTGTTTATTTGTCTGTTGTTTTCTTTTTTTTCGTTGTTGGTTGTTGTTTTTTGTCCTAGGAACATATATCTGTCGTTCTAAACTTAAGCCCTACACGACAGTCTTTAGAGCAAAGAGGTGGCGGTATTGGCCGTAGAACACACAACCTAGTGTTCACAATCTTGCAGGGTCATGTAGAAGTTTCTAAAATATAATAATTATGTCCTCTAAGTTTCTCCCTGAGAAACTAAGCTTATGTCACAATATTCCAATGAAAGAGCTGCAGAGTTGGCCTATCATTTTTTTTTCCAAATGCATCTCCCTTACAGACGATCAACGGCAACAGAGGATGGAAAATTGAAAGTAAAGTACTTTATCTGAAACTGGTTTAGTTGATTATAATGTGTTTAGCCTATAGCGCACACGGATTTTTCGCAATTTGCAATAAGGGTACATGATTTTAGATGATATACATAGAACCAAAATATAGTCTAGCCGCAAACTGAATTAATGATGTTGTCAAAATCAACTCGACTTCTATGCATTGGCATACGGTAAAATCACCCCCCAAAAAAGTACAACGCAATCAGTTTCAAGTTGATTTTTAGTGAATGCACTTAGAGTACGACACAGAAATAAGCTTAGTACAATAATCGTGGAATACCATGAGCTGTTGACACAAGGCAAGAGCTTCTCATACCGTGAAAACCTGGGCGTTCACTGACCTCGTGTGTTAAAACACATGTCACAACCTACGTCCAGTGCAAGCTTCCTGGTCAAACATGAAATGCAAAGCAACGAAGGGTCAATGTTTACTTTTTCCAAATCACGGCTTGTCTGTACGTCAGGGGCATTGTGGAGACGACGATCCAGAGCAAGGTGGCTTGACTGGGGGCAGCGTTACAAATGCACAAATATAATATGAAAGCTAAGAAGGGGATTGAAGGTGAAATTGCAGCAAGCACGTCACTAAAATAGCCTTTTGAAAGTAGCAACCATGCACCTCATCATTTTCTTTTTGAATAAGAAGGTTTTTAAAAAATCCCAAACAAAACAAATCAAAGCGCTTTGAATGGTGTATTTTTGACTTTACAGCGCTGTATCATTAGACTAGACTCGTGCGGCGTAAAGGGATCGACTGTGTCATTCATGGCGGTATTCAAAACTCATATTATTCATGATTATCGATTTCTTCTTTGTTCCCTCGTATGCCATAAAGACACCATTTAGGCGGCTTCTATAATATCGATAATATAATACTTTAATGGTTGTTGCTCTTAATTAACATATTTTACAAAAATGTTACTTGTCAGGAATTTTCTGTCACACCTTTCACTTTTCATGTCCCTTTTTTTTTTACCCTGTTAAACATACGATCTTATTTGAGGGGGGGGGGGGGGGGGGGGGGACAACAACCAAGGTGTTCAGGATTTTTTTTTCACGCTTTAAAGAAACAGTCTCTTTGTGAAGTCTGGAACAGTGATCTCACCTTGTATACGGGAAAAGACAAGAGCGTTTAAGATAAGCGGCTTCCCACGCTACCTTGATCCAACGAATCTTAAAAATTAATGGTGGGTTATGCTCCCTTCTGTAAAAAAAAAAAATTTTTTGGCCTCGTGAGGATATGTTGAGGGTTTAAAACTTAAGTTTAACATCTTTATTCAATATGTTTAATCAGTAATAACATTCATACAGCGTCAAAGAGTCAAATGGTTAGGACGCTTAATCAAAATGCCCCAGAAACAACTAGCAGCTAGAGCTTACAACACGCGAGAATCCGGCTTTAAATCAAGAGGAAGATACAAGAAAGACCTGACTGGATGGGGTTAAAAGGTCTTGGAACAACATAACATATATCTATCACAGACGCTACACCCCTAGCACAGGACCGAAACGTGCACCTCCCCTCAACATCCTAAGGATACCAGAGGAAGGAAAAAGTCAAAATTAAAGTAAAGTTCAACAAGGTTAGTCAGTTTAGTTGTATAAAGAGAAGCGTATCGAAATATAACTATTATCGGGCAGCAGGTTTCAAGACAGACCAACAGAAAAAAGAACAATTAAAACCTACCAGAGGCACTCACCATCCACTGACATGCATGTGAAAGGACAGTGGGGGCAGAAAGACACCATACGCACTAGATGCAATTATTTCTTGGTCGGCGACACCTCAAAGATACAAAAACTACTGACGTGGGGGGAAACAGAGAGGGGGGGGGGGGTAGGTTATAAACGAGTTTTGAAAAAGGCTATGACACAATGAGTCAGTTGAACGTAGGCTGGGAAGCTTGTTATCTTATGTTTACGATGAACATTACAATTCTTCTGATTTCCAATCGGTAGTACATTTTATGCACATGTTATCACAGATAGTATCCCATCTTTCCACCTCAATGAATTAAATATCCTGGAACAAAACCAGATCTACAACACAAACCTACACGAATAAATGGCCTGTCACCACGGAAGCAGAAGAGCCTACACGATGGAGCATATACCTTTTGCAAGATTGTGCTTGGTTCCGACAATGTTTAAATTCCTTGTCACCTCATTAATCATAATACAATGTAGTTTAAAGTCGTAGAATCACGTGTAAGCAATCACTTTATGTTTATTTTTTCTTTAACCTTGAAATAACTGTAGATACCAGGCATCGTTGTCCAAATACGAATTTTAACACCAGTCCGTCACAAACATTAATTTGGTCACATCATGTTTAAAATTAATACGAAAAATCTACAAGACTTACACATTGTAATCAGACATCGAACGTGATGCGATTCTTAAATAATACATTACCTTGAAGTTTACAACAACATCTGCACCTCCATTTTTTACAAGCCCTCAAAACAATTTATTCCTTCCCTGCGGGGGAATAGTGAAAGTCAAAGCACTGGAAATGAGCACAAGAACAACAAGCCCTATCCCTGGGGTCTTAAACAATGTGCCACATGTGATTGTTAATCAATACATGCGATTGGAGCCTGTGCAGCCCACGAGATTAAAGTGGGCCCAATAGGGAAATCAGGAAATCGTGTTAAAGGCTTTGGGCAATGCCAGCAGTGACGTTTATTTGATTAAGACGAGCGTAGCACGAGTGGCATTGAAAGGGCCTGCGTGGAAGGCTAAGGGTGGGGGAAATGATGTGGAAAACAGGCCTACTTGGTGGAAGAAAAGCAATAGTTTAAGAATGATTGGTTTGTTTGTTTTTAATTGTGCTTTTAAAGGAGACAGAGCAAACAAACTGAAGAACTTTCTTATCTTGTTTGGGCTTATGTAAAGAGAAACAAATTGACCCAATAACGGTCATTAAGTGCAAAGAAATGAAAGACAGACAGACAGACAGACAGACAGACAGACAGACAGACAAGAAAAGAAGTTCGATCTACCAGTGGCACCCTCCAACCACAAACTCCTTTGTGATTGTTCGCAACAGTTATATAAATTTATACGTATGCTCTAAGGAACATGGGGGACGTCTGTCTTGGAGGCAGATGGAGGGGTCGACTAGGAATACAGTTTAAGAGACTGTTGGAGTTGCATGCGATTTTGGTTGCTTATTACGCCTTATACTACTACACATATAATTCAAACCAACCAACCCCTCAACTGTAGGCCTATGTTATAACCTTTAAAGTTAACGGGAACATGGCTTTTGAAATAGAATACTATGTAGGCTTGCGGGTTGCTGGCTTCGAAAATAAAGGTTATGGTACGTCAAATTCGACACATCCTTGCATTAAGTATGAGTTAACACCCCAAAGATGACATGGAGGGGAGCGGTAGGCCTACAAGCGGAAAGAGAAAAGGCGGGGACATCATGGAAACAGCTAGAAAAGAATGCATAGGACAGAAGAAATCTTGTTGATGGCCTATGCTCCGCTGGGAGTTAAAAAGGG